GGCTGTTACATTAATACACTGTTCCCTGCTCCTGATGTAGATAAGCACTACCATTGTTTGCTTGGGAACACGTCCAAGAGAATGAGGATTTATGAATTGCTCGATGAAAAAAAAATATTCCCTATAAAAACAAAGCATCATCAATCGTGTATAGAGCTGCGGATTTCAAAAGCGTTGGACCTCAAACGATTGCGAAGGAAAAGGTTGTGCGTCGCTGTGGCCGTGCTTTGTGGAGGGGCAACGTGCCGTGGTGGTTCGTGCGTACGTGCCGATAAGGGGAGGCCGTTAGCGAGAGTGCGAGGTGTGTGTCAGCCTGACGGATGAGGTTCCAGCTCCGACAAGGCGCGCCGGTAGCCACGCCGAAAAAAGGACAATCGATAAAACAAATTACGTGCAGGACCGTGCACCAGACATGGGCGACGAGGGGATTACTGATCAGTGCTCCCTTAACCCTGTCCGATTAATTCCTCGACCACCATGTGGGTTTTGTGGGGCGACGGGGCAAATGGCAAACGGTTCCCCACAACCCCAGGCCTGCTCTGTAACCATCAGGGGAAATACAAATTGGCTACTTTGACGGGGATTCATGCAAATAACTTAAGGACAACCCAGTTTCATATTTGGTTGGTGCTGCTGAGCAAAGCCTTGCACACTGGTAAAGGTGTCCTGGAAGTGGAGAGAGGCTTCGTAGACGGTGGGTTAAAGAGTGCAGGGTGTCAGCTGGTGTTTTGCCGTGTGTCTTCACAAACACAAGTTTTATTTTTTCCCCATCCAGGGCTCAGTGCCTTAGAGTTTGCATGATTGCCCCAGCACAGTGCTGGGGGGGGGGGGGGGGAAACACGACTGTTTATTACACGGGAAAAGACAACGTTTGAGTCTAAACGATTTTACATGAGTTGTGTGACTCTTGGGGGCAGCAAAATAACAAGTTTTACTGTCTCTGATAAAGTGGAAGAATATGGATGAGAAATGTTGACATAATTAAAGTGTAACGTTGATAACGATACTAAATTACAATTATTGGAACTAAACTAGGCAAGCCGCAATTTTAAACATTCCACATGAGGTAGACAAATTCGTCATTTAACAACACTGTGGTCTAAAATAATAACTAATATATAAAATCTCAAGTTGTGTGTGTTCTTCCTATGTTCCTCGGTTCTACATAAGTCAAGTGGGTTTGAGCATTTTGAACGCATTGCCATTGCACAAACACTGAAAATAATATTGACTAGCTTCACGGAAATGTTTCAAGGAGATAAATAAAGAACGGTTTACATTTTTCAAAGTAAGATGTACACCGTTGCTATTTTAAATGGGCTCGGGCTAATCGAAACAAGCCATGCAATTAGCTACAAGGACATTGAGGTCTTTAAGGGAAAAAAGCACGGTATTGATGAGATGAAGGTAACCAGGATTTGTTTGTATGGTGAGGGTTGTTCAAAACGCACGTTTGCTTAAATCTGAACAGGACTCATTTTGGTTGTATTGGGGGAGACGTGTACTTTGCAATTAGACACGATGTTCAACTGATACTTCCACGTGTTATTTTGTTGTTACTGAAATGTATTGACTCATTTAAATTACATGTTGCCATGTTAGATGAAAATGCTGGATGTTGAGAATTGATGAATTCAAGCCTTGAAACGTGGAGTGAAATACATCCACCAGAACAATTAACGCTCTAGTGAAAATACTCTGTGAACAATGAAGATTTACAATACACAAATGTCAATAATACTCGCTAGTTAGTTTAAGAATTTCTATGACATTTTAATGGTTATACAGTGAGGGAAAAAAGTATTTGATCCCCTGCTGATTTTGTACGTTTGTCCAATGACAAAGAAATGTTCAGTCTATAATTCTAATGGTAGGTTTATTTGAACAGTGAGAGACAGAATAACAACAAGAAAATCCCAAAAAACGCATGCCAAAAATGTTATAAATTGATTTGCATTTTAATGAGGGAAATAAGTATTTGACCCCCTCTCAATCAGAAAGATTTCTGGCTCCCAGGTGTCTTTTATACAGGTAACAAGCTGAGATTAGGAGCACACTCTTAAAGGGAGTGCTCCTAATCTCAGCTTGTTACCTGTATAAAAGACACCTGTCCACAGAAGCAATCAATCAATCAGATTCCAAACTCTCCACCATGGTCAAGACCAAAGAGCTCTCCAAGGATGTCAGGGACAAGATTGTAGACCTACACAAGGTGGAATGAGCTACAAGACCATTGCCAAGCAGCTTGGTGAGAAGGTGACAACAGTTGGTGCGATTATTCGCAAATGGAAGAAACACAAAAGAACTGTCAATCTCTCTCGGCCTGGGGCTTCATGCAAGATCTCACCTCGTGGAGTTGCAGTGATCATGAGAACGGTAAGGAATCAACCCAGAACTACACGGGAGGATCTTGTCAATGATCTCAAGGCAGCTGGGATCATAGTCACCAAGAAAACAATTGCTAACACTACGCCGTGAAGGACTGAAATCCTGTAGCGCCCGCAAGGTCCCCCTGCTCAAGAAAGCACATATATATGCCCGTCTGAAGTTTGCCAATGAACATCCGAATGATTCAGAGGACAACTGGGTGAAAGTGTTATGGTTTGGTTCCAGTGTCAATGCTGTGTGTGGAGGTGATACCTAGTCGTTATCTTTCCACCTCCTCCACCAGCTCTGGCTCCTTCCTCCCCAGTGACGTGACATCCCACGTTCATATAGCGAGTGTCCATTGCGAAGGTCCAGTCCGTCTGAGATCATCCCTCTCCCTGCTATAATGGCATCGCTCCTACCCCTCACCCTTGGTCCTGTGGATGGTGGGCCCACAGGACTGCAGCACATAGTAATTTCAGGTTGGGCCCGACCGGGTTACGTGGGTCACCAGGCCACCAGCGAACACGACCCCTAGGCCTGGTTCCAGGGGGGTGTCCTGGTATACCTTATCCGAGCGAGGTTCTCTGATTTTTATAACTTTGAACCATTCATAAGGGGATTTTGTTTGGACCGTTATTTGTCTGGATCCTCTCCCCAGATCTGTTCGCCAAGAGAGACCTGACCAGGAGTACAAGACTCCAGGCAACATAGATCTGAAAGTCATTAGAACACACAAACCCCACGACCACAATAAGGTTACGATTTTTCAGTGGGGTTTTTGCAATTGCCAGTTGCGAATTGCTAAATATGGCTGTGAGAATTGCTCTTCAGCTTACCGGTGAAAATACATTTCCTTAGAAATTTGGTCAGATCATTACGTGGCCTAACCCAAAATAAATATGAATTATAATAAAAAAAAACATATTTCATTTACTCAGGAAAATGCCTGGGATGTATGTATGTTGAACTTCTTTCACACCATACGTAGCCAACTGTGTTAATCGGAGGGGGAAGGACAACAAACTAACGACAAAAGGCAGTTCTAAAGAAATAATATTTTACGTATGTTGAACATCTTTCGGACCGTATGTTTAATCAAATGTACATTTGTTTTGTGTGTGTAAAAAACTAGTACCCAGGGTAAAAGTAAAAGAAAACACGTGATGGGTTGCCAATGACAGGTATGTCGAAGATTTGCTTGCTGTACTGCCTTCTGCATGTCACGAGCGTTTGATGAAAGCACATTGTCTGGTTTAAGGGAAAAGCCGATGGTGCAGGCCACATAATCCCAGCCGATTCTCGATGACTACCTGTGCCCAGTGACATTTGTCCAGTTTCCCTCGCTAATTTATCAGTGTCAGCCAGGTCTCCAAGGTGGCTTTTAATGTTGCTGAGGTTGGGGATTGTGGGACTATCAGGCATGTGTAGAATTAAGGGAGTTTTAATAAATGGTATGATTTTCAATATTTAGTACAATGTAGATTGTACTAAATAAAGAAAATAAATGTATTAGTAATCACAAATACTGTTAACTGCAGTTAACAATGTCTGAATATCAAGACTCTATTGAGAACAAAGTCACACTGGTATGAGCTGTGTATTAACCAGGTGCATTCAATATTTAAGACGTTAAATTAGGCTGGTTGAGAAGGGCTTTACGTTATCCAGATAATTCAATATTTAATATTTTTAATGGCACAAGTTTGGAATAGCTTTGCACTAACCAGCCACATTATATATTTAAAACCTTTAATGAGACCTGTTTGGAAGAGCTCTCCATTAATAAGGCTGTGCCAATACTCAGGGTCTTTTCAAATTTGTTACGTCTTGAAATGTGAGACAAGGGATTGCACAGCACTCACAGGGCACATTGCCTACATCCAAACAAGGGGCAGATGATGTGCACACAACCAGAATTAAAGTGAATTCCTGAGCAATTTCACCTTAACCTTCAATCCCAAAGAGACGAGGGAGAGCTTTGTGTCTAGCTTGTTCCACAGTTTAAGACTCATCCAAATCGCCACGTCTTAGAGATGTATATACTGTACATATACATGCGTTAAACAATTATATAAGGCAATGTGGTTAAACTAAGATATATTGGTGAATACCTAAACTAACTTTGATACATTGTCTTCTCACAATGCAGTATTCATGTTATGATGAGTTACAGTGCTATGAGTACCACTCATGATACACACTGCTGTTTAATGAAGGCTCAGCCTAAAGGTGATGTTTTATCGAGCTGCTACCACTATGCTATGCTTATTTTTCATATCACTAAACAGCTCACTTATTAAATCTGCTAGTGGACCCAAGACATGAAGTCGTGCTTGAAATGGATAGTTTACGAGTAATCCCTTTCACAGCATAAGAAAGACTGGGTAGAAACACTGACTGGTGTGGGCAGGCCCTAAACCTGCCCCGTGCAATGGGGGCTATATAGTAAATTCCACCGGTTTCCATCAAATCTCTGCCAAAACAACTACATTGATTCCCGCGAAATGTGTACTTGTGTGTGCCAGTGATCTCATCCACACAATGTTGGCTCCATAGACAGGCACAGAGCAACCCTCGCTGTTACAAAAGCTAGAGATTCACCGTGGATGCCGCTGGGTTAACAGGCTCACCGATGTTTCCTCCGTTTCCAGGCGGTGTGGCTCTCAGAGCCCTGGAGAACTCTTCCCACGATCCTGCAGCACAGCGGTCCCGCACGCGCTCCCGTGTCAGCGACGCATTCTTGAAGCTGTGTGAGACACCACCATCCAATGTCAAGTCAATTAATGCCTAAAATTGTGCAAGGTGTAGCATTGGTTTAAACGAAAATCTAGGCCGAGGCAAGTTGCGTTGTAATGTATGTAAGCATGTTGAACTTTTTTAGCATTGTACGTAGACAACTGTGGTAATCAGAGGTGCAGGGTGAAGGACAATACACTAAACACCAAAAGCAGATCTCAAGACATGAGTTTTTAATAGAGATTTAAAAGTGCATAGCTCCAGTGGCTTCCTAATATCAGAAGGAAAAGTGTTCCAGACGGCCGCAGAAGCGCCATTTGAAAGCGCACGATGCAGTGACCGTCTTTGTTTGATGGCTAGCCAAATGCCACTGTGAGGATGACCAGAGTTTGCGTGATGGTTTATGCCCCTTGACAAAATCAGAAAGGTATTGTGGCTAATTTGTGGCAAGCACTTTGCGCTATGATTACAACCTTATAATGTATTCGTTCAGCAACTAGAAGCCAATGCAGCTCGGTGAGCACGGGACGAACGTGATGTAATATCGTGAAAAATGTGTAATTAGTACATCCAGCCAGGTTGCAATGGGGCAAGTGCACTCAATTCACAACTAGAAGGTTGTGAGTTGATTTCCCGGTCAATAATCAAACTCATGATTCTTCTAGAGTAGGTAAAATACTAATCACTGGATGAAAGTGCATGCATTAACTCATAGGAACAGTAGTTGTACTCGAAATAAACTGGTCCCTGACATTGTAATGTATCATTACTACAATAGGTTCAGGGGTGCTACACTGGAACACAAGCCACCATTGCATTTGAGATGTGGCCACATCATTTCGATGCTTTGTACATGTAAACATGTGTTTCAATATATGTGTAAAGGAGCATTGTGAGTAACCAATGAGAGGGCGAGCGGATTGAGGTGCGAGCCCGTTGAGAGTTATGCGGGGCCAAGGATGACGTAACGTCACGGGTTACGCAAGGGGCTTTCGGAAAGCACTTTCGGGAAAGTGGGCGGGGCCGAGCTGGGGGGAGGAGCCGCCCAAACGGTTCTTAAGGGGAACCACGTGACGGGGGCGTGGTCGTCGTTGGGGGCCAGGGTAAGGACCGGCTGGAGTAGGGGTCTCTCGCCGCGGAGCGGTGTTAGCTGATCCCCCGCCCCGGGCAGACGAGTGAGAGAGCCAAGGGGATAGCCGGGGTAGAGTCCAATTAGTTATTCAGTGTCCGTGTGAGGGACGGAGATCGAGTGCACCTACACTGGTGTGAGTGTAAGGATGCCGAGTGAGAGTGTGCGTTAATAAACGGCAACAGCCCTTCTAGTATTCCTCGTCTCCACGTGGTTGTACAACAATACATGTATGAGACAGTAAGATTGTTCAAAGTTTATTATATATTAGATAATTAGATAGTTCACTAATTTTCCCATCTTCGACAACATTTTACATTTCCTGGACAAGAATATATCAAGCAAGTGAGCAGTTACACATACAATAATTTTAACCTAATAAGTATTTTTTCATTGTTATTTTATTTCTATTACCTCTGGGTATTTTTTAGTTGTCATTCAGCAAGCTTACATTTATATTCATGGCTTTTCCATTGTGGAAAAATTCATCCCTTGAAGCTACTTTTAAATATATATTTAATATGTATGCATTTAATTTCAAGTCAACGCCTCGATGCAGAGCTGTCAACAATGTGCGCTCACTACTGTACACGGCTTAAACAGCCGGTGATTAGAATGCAGCATTGTGTGTACAATAGGTAGACATAATTTAAATGTAACTCATTGTAAGAATTTAAAAATCAATACCCTTGCGTTCTGTCGATGTAAGGCGTGAGTTGTTCAAGGCAAATGGTAATTAGGAAACACAAAAAAAACACGTGGAAAAAATCCCCCAAAACGATTACTCTCTCCCTTCCTTTATCATTATTGGGCTTGTAAGCGGAAGCATTATTAGCACGGACCTACTAAGGACAACACAGGTCATGACGAGTTGAATTGTGAGAAGTCAAGCACGACGTTAAACATGGGAGACAAAATAAAACCTTGACGAACGCCTGCCTTAACCATACTCTATGGCTTTTTAGGTAAAGTCACGTAGGTAAAATTAAAATATAAATCATTTAAGTTGTTTTCATTTATTTTATTTTTATTTTACCTACGTGACTTTACCGAAAAAACCAAAGAGTATGAAGCCTGCCCTAACATCAAACCATGCTGATGTCTCACCTTCTATTCGTACATATGCCTGAGTCCCGTCATACAGGAATTGAAGCAGCTGAATTATCTTTTTCTTTTTTACCTGGGATGGTCCACTGGCTGTGAGAGTGATGCTCAATCGACGATATATTTTGTACTAAATAAACACTGGCAAGGGTTCCAGAAACACATTCCTGCGGAGGGAGCTGGTAGGAACGTTGGGTTGCTCGGTCAGTGGCCAGGGTCAACGGCGGCACGTGGTGTATTCCGCAAATATGCCCGACTGTGAGGGTGGGCAAAAGCCGGCGTGAGTAGGTTAAACGTTGAGTTTTATAAGGGCACCACGGGGTGACCAGCCCCTCCCCACCCAGCCCCTCCCTACCCAGCCCCTCCCCACCCTCCCCTCCCCACCCTCCCCTCCCCACCCAGCCCCTCCCCACCCTCCCCTCCCCACCCAGCCTCTCCACACCCGCCCCTGCCCACCATCCTCTTCCAACCCAGCCCCTCCCCAACCTCCCCTTTCCACCCAGCCGCACCCTCCACCACCGCGCCCCTCCCCACCCAGCCCCTCCCCACCCTCCCCTCCCCACCCAGCCCGTCCCTCCCCACCCAGCCCCACCCCTCCCATTTTTGGATGCACGACGGACAGACACAATAATCCCCTGTGGGCTGGTGTAACCAGGAGGTTCCTACCAGTATAATTGGATATATCATTATTAACAGAAACCCCCCTGGTACATTTAAATCCATGCATGTAAAACCGCAACTGTAAAAAGTTCATTTTATTTTTTATTTTACCAGGTAAGGCCCATTGAGCTATACAACAGGCCTTTTTCAGAAGCGACCTGGGCACAAATGATAGCTCAACGAAGTGGCTTATCACGTGGAGATTTATAGCAGCCAAATACTCTAAATACATGTTGATTTTAAATTTGGAGGGAAAAACCGGAGGACCCGGAGCAATATCCACATGACCACAGGGAGAACATGCAAACTCCAAATATACAGGTGTCTGGGTCAGGATTGAACCCACGATCTCCTGTATACCAGGCGAGAGAGTTAACATCTCGCCACCATCACCACCCTACTCTCTGCATTGGAATATGGTTGGCATGTGATATAAGACACACTGTTAAAAAGTTTCACTATAGGGTGTTCTTTTCCACACTGGACCCCGAACTGGGTTTTAAATGCAGAACCTTAAAACTGAGTCTAGGAGCTCAGTCGCAGTCCAATTTTTCCAGAATGTTAACATGGGGAACACATCACGGCTGACATACGGCTCACTGCAATGGACATATATAGAAAAAAAACATTACCTCTCTAAAGAAGGCAAGAAAAGTGGCATGTATTGACAGCATCACTAGAGTTTGGTGATCATAGTTGTTAAGTTAACTGTGTTTAAATTGCCCTATCAATACTGGGAGGATAGGGAGAGTGTGATTATATGGCAAGGATTTGCAAAGGCAACGCATGTGAAACTAAAACTGTGCATTTGGAATGCTGGGGCACTGTTAACCCTGAGTTCCAGGAATCATGGAAACACTCAATACTGTCCTGAAAAGCTATAGCGTCTCAGCAGGCTGGGCGGATGCACATGGTTTGCAAATGCATCCTTAACGGCTTAATCATTAATCGACTTAATCAACTAATTATCCCAGCTCTAACGTATTTGGATTATTTGGTCATCCACATGCTTAATATTGTTAAAATGGTCTTGCAACTACATTATTCACTTAATATGAATCATCATAAGCAGGTTATGCTAATCTAGATTTGAAGTTTTCGTGATTGCAGGAATCCATACTCTTTGGTTCTTTCGGTAAAGTCACGTAGGTAGAAAATAAATTAAAAGAGCAATAAACAAATTGCTGAAATTTGTTTATTGCTGGGGTTGATTCCACCTGATGACGGGCACTTGTGTTGCGCCCGAAACGTCGTGATTTAATTTATTTCATAGGCTATGCTAAACCATATCGTTAGTTTTGTAATATAAATCAAACACTGACAAATATTTGGGAAACAAAAATGCTTTCATATCTGGGGTATCATTGCATCACATATTGTTAGAAGTGGAGTCGCCCGAATACACTTTGTAATTTGGAAATGCAAGGTAAATTAACGTAGATGCACATGCTGTAGCGTTAAAGTAAAATAAAGTTGACGTGTCTCCCAGTACTAACATGCATTCAGACGCATCACTGTTGGCAGCCCTGAGCCAGTGGTAGAATTCCACGGTTTTGTGGCAAAGACTAAACTCCGCAAAAGAACAATCACTCGTGATGGTCTTGAAAGTGGAACTCATTTTATTGATCCTGTAGGAATAATGGGCTGAGTTGAGCAATCATCAGGTTTGTGAAATGAGAGCTCTCAAGTGTTAAAGCGTCACAATTGGCTGCTTATAATTAATTATGAGACCACATCACAGAGCTAAACGTATGCTTGTATTTTTTTATGTGGCAGGACAGAGACGTGAAACAGGAACATTGCTTATTTGTTTTTTTATATTCTCCACAACATAGCTCATGGTTATATTGTTATTAGGCTTCTTATAAGGATATATCGCAGAATGCTCAATGCACAATGGAAATCGTGGGAGTTCAAATGGCAATGAGAGGATCTTCCATCATCCCGCTGCAATAGATAAAACAAGTACCAATGTGCGGGAAGTCACCGATTGTATTCCGATGGAGAGATTAGTCCAAGAGATGTTCAATTTCCACCAGTGGCTTGAGGTCACCCCTGAAGATGAACACTGTCCAATGTACCGCTTGCATGGTGGGAAACTATGACTTTTCATTCAA